TCGTCCTGTATGAGGGATCATTCAGGACTTCCTCTATGGCCTTCAGGAAGTTGTTGTCTTTGTCCACTGTAGTTAATGTAAGTATCTTAGCTCCTCCTCTGTCTTTCAGACGTAGCAGGTTGTCATACTGATCAAAAAAAAGGATATCCCACAACTGGGACTCCATGATAAATAGCTTCTTGGACTCCATTTGTTCCTCCATGTGCCACAAACAGTTTTATTTTTGGATGTCCCAAAAGGTCATTCTGTGGCATCCAGTCCACCAGTAAAGTGTTATTGCCCAGAGTGGCTGGTCTGTCACCTTTATACTTCCAGATGACTTTCTGTGGTAGTTTAGAAAAAGCTGCAGCGATCTCATTTGCCATGTCAGCAGGAAGTTCAGTCACAAAAGTCCCCAAAGACATGAGGATGAAGCCATGGTCCCCAGAACTCTGCACAAAGTCCTCCAAGTGCTGAGGCAGAGGTTTAGCAGGTTTGCACTGGAACCCTCCAATATAAACAACATTAGGCATTGTGGGCCGTGGGTACTCAAACACAAAGTCCACTCTCATCAGCCAAATGTCTGCATCAGTCATTAACTCATTAAAATCATAACCAGGCCCAAGATATTTGTCAGCTGTTTTCTGGTATACTAGTTTAAACGCCAGGCTGTTCTGTGTTTGAGTTATGATGTGTAAAACCATGTTTTTAACTCTCTGAGAAAAGGTCATCTCGACAGTATTGCCAGTTCCAGTCACAGGAATGTAAGATAATGGTGATGGAGCTATGGAAAAATGAGCCTCTGTGCCTAATACCCAGCGAACATTATAAACCAAAGGAAGGTTCAAATATTTGGCCAAATGACTCCAACCACCGACAGGGGTCAGCAAGAACAGGTCAAACTTGCTTCTTTAGTTTTCTTATCAAGTCTGTCATCTAGTATTGCAGATACAAAATCAGCCAGAGCTTTGTAAAATCAAGAATTGTGCTGAACATCCCTACACTCCTTTGAAGAATATCCGTCAAGGGGATGGCCCCTCGTTCGAAAAGTATGCCCTCGGACACAATTCTTGTCATGAATTTCTGAATCAAGATGTTCTCCACTGGAACTGTAATGGTATTATAAGATGAGTCATCTTTTAAATACCAGCTGTTACTGGGACGTAAAACAGTGATGTTGTGTCCTCTGGAGTGTAAAGCTTTTAGTAGAATGTTCATGTTTACCCAGTGGCTGCCTTCAGAGGGAAAGACTAAAATGTTGCCTCCTTCACAGGCTGTGGGAATAAGGATGAGCAGCAGGAAAGCAGTACAGCAGCAGAACACCCTCATCTGAAAAAACACAAACAAACAAAAAAGTTACCGGCATGACTTCTGTCACGAAATTAATATATTGTAATATGTTTCTTTCATTTTTTTAGCAGTGGAAATGCACTGTTTTGATTTCAAATAGCGTCTTCTGGGGTTTTTTTCTTCTCTAATTCAGTTGCAATTTCATTCCATCTTAAAGAGACAATATTACTTTCTCATTTTTCACCATTGTAAACTTCAAAAGTCAGTGTGCTTGACAAAAATGCATCGCATTAAAAATATTTATTGAGGATGACCAGTCGTTAAAACAGACTAACATTTACAGCGTTTCGTAATTATCATTATTTTAATTAATGCGGTCTGTTAGTTATTAAGTTTAAATGTGATTCCCAGACTATCCGCGTTCTGAGCACTATTTTCCGCAAAGTTAACTTGTACATTTCAGCAACATTCCTCAACCGACATAAAGCCAGCCACATTCACCCAGGTTTTCTACTCACTGTGATCACTATCGTTTCTTTCACCTGGAAAGGTCACAGTGTTAAGAGGGCTGATTTGTATAGCGCAAAACCGAACTTGTGTCAAGCCAGCCTCCAATTCGAAACTTGCAGCCAAGCCAGCCTCCAGTTTGTTTTCTTTTCCCTGTGTATTCAAGCAAGGGCGTAGATTTGGCATGGACGGAAGGGACATGTCCCCACCAATATCCAGCGATGATTGAATTGTCCCCACCAATAATTTGATCTCTTCGAGTAAATAAAAAAAAACGATAGAAAGAAAAAAACGATCTGTCAACGTCTCATTCACCCAGCGGTGCAGAAAAAGTTAAATTACGCTCGCTACTAGAATCTTACGTCACGTGACAAATATGGCCAATGTGATTGGCTGTGCCTTTCAGGGACCACTGTTTAATTTTAGCAGCGGCAAGCCTGCGCAGTGTTACCAACTTAGCGACTTTGTCTCTATATTTTGGGAGGTTTTAGACCCCCTTAGCGACTTTTTTCTAAAAAGCGACTAGCGACAAATCTGGCGACTTTTCCTGGTATTATTGGAGACTTATTTATGACGACTTTTTGACGTGAAAACGCGTATCGCTCTTACTCTCAATAAGCAGCGGTACTGCCGTGGGCACCTCACCCGTGCCAAGGCGCTCACAGGCGGAGGATAGTCCTTCCCCAGCTGCTATCAGGGCAGAAGACGTTAACACCTATGCGTCCAAACTGCAAATGAATCGCGCAGGAGCGAATCCGCTGCTCCTGCACTGACTGTAAGGCAGTCAGTTCTCCTTTTACTGTTATGCTGTTTTGTGGATCACAAGGTTTAAAACTACTTATAACCACACACTCACACACACGGAAGTAAATAAAAGGGGAAAAAACAGCGGCCGACAGCGCTGTAAACAACGGTAGACCTTCTCTGCAGCTAAACAGGAAGCCCCAACGACCCGGGGACTAGAGCAGAGAGCTCTTTCGGGCAAAATAAATTAATATTTAAAAAATCGATTCAGGATTTTAATGAATCGATATCACGTTATCCAAGCCAGAATTGATTTTAATCGATAAATCGATTATCAAAACCCACCCCTATTGGCAAAACTGGACGGAGTTCACCGAGAACGGAAGAAGCACGAAACAAACAATAAAGATTAAAAACTGCAGTATTAAAAGTACAGAAGGTGGCTACAATCGATACTTTTCATTGTTTTCAACGTTCTGCTTCGGCTCTTTGTATGCTATAACTCTGCTCTTCTCCGTGTCTGACTGATGGATCAACAATAGCATAAGCATGCGTAGCCCACACACCAGTTGTACCACATATTTTTGACACTGCTTCCAAGGACAATAAACCCTCTCTGCAGCTAAACAGGAAGCCCCAACAACCCGGGGACTAGAGCAGAGAGCCTCGGTGTTCTCCACAAAAAATCACAAAGCTTAAGAGTAGGCCACTAACTCCAGTCGCAATTTGAGCAGAGCTTTTACGTGGAGTAGCAAGGTTAAGTTAATTTCCCGTATATACAGTCACATTAACACAGAGCGTTTCTACTTACTGCTGGACGTTTGGTTTCTCCACACAAGAAATGTAAAGAGCCTGTTTTCCAGAGCGCCAATGAACGAAATCTGTTCAATTAATGTTGCTATGCAGGATAGAGAAGAACTGAATCACAATCCAGGATGCACGTTGAAGCCTGGAAGGCAGGAAGTAATAACTCTATCTGTGTTCAAAGGTGACGGGGATACTTGGAAAGCAAAGGTGTGTTTATGTACTCTGGATCAAAGTTAGTGCGTCATTGATGAATTAACTGAAATGGTACACTTTTTCATTTTCACTGAATAAGGAATTAAATTCCAGTGTTTTGTCAGCACAGTCTGTAGGCGTTAATCCTTGTTGTCTTCAGATGTAGTGTTGGTGTGTTTTATGAAAAGTAATCTGCATAATCTGGAAAGATGTTTTTATACTTTACATGCTATTAAGCATTAGTTATAAAGATTCTTTTTGTTATGCATTGAAAGGTTTATATTGAAGCTGCATTTCTTAATGGATAAGTCATTCTGTATTCATTTTGTAATTTTGTTTGAATGATTCTTAATTCTTAGCTTTATATTTGTTTCTGTGTAATGTCATGTAAATGTTATGCGACCCTAATGAGGTTTGATCGTTTCTAAATTTGCAACCATTCTAAATTTATTGGTTTATAATATATAAGACTTTCATATGTCGATATATAGCCTATGTAGATGCATGTCGGTGCATCTATGGTGGTTTATGCACTACTAAAACTTGGCTCTTCAGGTTGTTTTGTTGCTTTAATGAATTTATTATTAACAATAATATAAAATTATGCACAAAAGGAATTACTAATGTAAAAAAAAGTAAAATTGCGTACATTGTACATCTTTGTGCAGAATCTGTAGTACCTGCTCTCATTTACTGTTTTAGCTGTTTGGTGGTTTTGAAATTTTGTGAGGTTTAACCTGAGATTCTGGCATTTCGGGCAATAATAATATTAATATTTAATAAAAAATCGATTCAGGATTTTAATGAATCGATATCACGTTATCCAAGCCAGAATCGATTTTAATCGATAATCGATTATCAAACCACCTAGTGGGTTTCGCGAACACCACCGTCTGTGAGGAACCCAGTACCTCCTACACACACACACACACACACACACACATACAGGAGGCAGTGAGGAGTAGAAGGAGGTTGTTGCTACGCCTGCGTCGCGAAACCAGGGCTCATTGTGTGTGCGCCCGGAGCAGCTACGGGGGAAACACATGGGACAACCGACCAGTTTGGGGCCATGGTTTATTCAACGTGTATTTTCAGTGTGGTTTAACTTGCTAATCTGATCTGAAATACTTTCCTTGAATGTGCCTTAATTTCACCTCTTTTTTCTTTCTTCTTTTCTTAGCTTACTGAAAATGTTGGCGACCAAAGGCCGGATCCAGGGATGTGTGCTGCTTGTGCTACTGGCGTTATGTGGGCAAACTGCTCGCTGTCAACATCGATACAAAGGTAAAGTGCAATCCCAGGGTTGTGTGCTGCTTGTGGTACTCGCTTTATGTGGACAAACTGCTTGCTGTCAACATCAATACAAAGATAACAAAAGAATAGCCTAGTGTAACGTAGTGTTTTATGTTTTTTTTTTCTAGAATGATTCAAATGTTACTATCATTTCCCCAACCCCGCAGGCTCTGCGACCCGTGAAGAACTGAGACTCCTTCTGGTCGGTAAAACAGGATCGGGAAAGAGTGCATCCGGAAACACCATCCTGGGGGATGCGAACGCTTTCAAAGAAGACGTTTCGCCTGAGTCTGTCACCGACGGCTGTCTCAGAAAAGAGGCAGAGGGCGAAGACGGAAGAAATATCGCTGTGATCGACACTCTGGGGCTGTCTTTTGGATGAAATAGATGAAATGGTGGATTTCAATGGAGGAAACCACTACACCAACGAGATGTATAAGGCGGCCCAGAAGAAACTCGAAGGAGAAAGGCTGAAGAGGAGAAAGGAGGAAGAACAAAGAAAAAGGGAAGAAGAGGAGAGGATCGAATTGAAGGAGCGGTGTAAATTCTTCCGCCTCGCTTCCCTGGGATTATTTGGCACAGGAGCGTACTTTACATCTTATGTTCTCATGGGGCTCGGTGGAGCCCTTGGATATTCTCAGTTAAAGACGCCGAGCTTGACGGTTGGGCGTCTTCTTTACTCGTCGATACCGTGAAAACTGCGTAGGTGTATCACCTACTCGACCTAGTGATCAACGAGTACCGCACCGAAGCATGCAACGGGTGCAAGACCAATCACCCCAGCCAGAGACAACACGAGTGTCTGCGAGTCTTGGTGTCAGGGTCCCTGTGCCTACCCGGTCGGCTCAGTATGGCTACATATGTTTTTCATTTTGTTCCTGCTCTCTCCCTTCCTCTCTTTCCCTCCTCCCTCTGCCAGGGCGGAGCTCACCTGTGGGCTTCTGCCCTTGGTCCACGCACCTGGTCGCCATCACGCACCTGTGGCTCGTTACGAGAGTGTTCCAGCTCCTTTATAAGACGGCAGCTCTGTGTTTCTCGTCGCTGGACCGTTGCCGACCCGCATTCCCTGGACCAACCCCTGTGTTTCCTGAGTGATTGAGTGTGCGAGGAGTGGACGGAGTGCGTGTGGACTTTCAGCATCTTTTCCCTTTGTGTGTGGACCCCCGGAGCCCGGCTTCCCCCTCACCTCTGTAAATAGATCACCTGGTGTGCTGTAATAAAGATTCTTGTGTTTCCCAACTCAGAGCCTGCGCGTGTGTCCGTTCCATCCCGCTGTGACACTTGGAGGATGACTTTTACGCTGAACATTATTACAGCATCAGGAAAAGACTCCTCACGCCGCGTTTCATTCCTTCCATTCAACGTCTCCTGATCATGTATTCACAGCCACCGAAGGCGCTGTACAGCACCGAGCACCTGAAACACGGACAGTTTGTTGATATTGTAATCAAAAATACAGCCCCGGGGGGGAGGGGGCATTTTAAAAACGCACCCTCCCTATTGCGCATGTCCCTAAAAGGTATGGCCTTCCAGATTGCCTCAGTTGTATCGTGAGTGTAATTTCAAATAAAATAAAACTCAGAAGCGTCTGTGTGTTGTATTCTTCTTTTCTTCTTCTTCTTATTCATTATCTTATTATTATTATCATTATTGTGATTATGCTTCATTTTTATGTACTGGGGTATCAATGACCCCCACGCTGCCGCAGCAGCTTCTGTGCGTGGCCCCCAAGTGCTACGTTTTCTTTCCCGATCCCCTGACGAACCCATTAGAATCGCTCTGGGGCACTCTTCGACCCCAAATGATCGTTCTGTTTTTTTCATTTTCATTCACCTGTCTCTACTGAGGGTGGGGTACTTTGGGACCCCCGGGGTCTGGGGCTGCCCCGAAGGGGAGCACAAGGGTTTAAGTCAAAACTCGATCCCATATCCCAGTTTTCATTACAAATGTAGTACTCTACTGTCAAACATTTAAAACTGCAAAATGGCCAGAGGAAGTTGAGATGGATAGCCTTGGACAAGAGTTTTAAACCAGGACAATATGACAAGGCTTTCAAAGAGTGGACCAACAGGGGCCTAACTGCTCTCTGTTTAATTACCAAAAAGGACAAAGTCAGGAGCTTTCAAGAGATTAAGGACATGTTTGAATTGGAAAACCAGGATTTTTTTCGATATCTACAACTTCGAGATTATTACAATAAAGAGATAGCTGAAGCTGAGATGATTAACCCTCTAATTGAAACAATGTGCAATGCCTACCAGCAGAAAACTACTAAACTAGCATCCAAATTATACTCTAATTTGATGAAGAATCAAAGATTTACCTCTTTATATGTAAAGACAAAATGGGAACAGGAACTAAAACTATCAATTACAGATGAAACATGGTACCAGTTATGTGGTTCACTTCAAACGTCTACAAATTCCCTACAGTGGCGGGAATTTAATTGGAAATGTCTTATTAGGTTTTTTATCACTCCTCACATTAGGAGTAAGCAGTAGTGATGGGATTTCCTGCTCTTTTAGAGATCCGGCTCTTTCGGCTCGGCTCACTAAAAAGAGCCTGGCTCTTTCGGCTCCGAACCGGCTCTTCAGGTTGTTTTGTTGCTTTAATTAATTTATATTAACAATAATATCAAAATTATGCAGAAAAGGAATTACTAATGTAAAAAAAGTGGTTTTATTTATGTATGTTTATATATGGCCCCTAGAGACAAAGCACATACTGTCATGAACTGGCTGTGTGGAGGCAGATGAGGACCCAAACGCAAAACTCACGGAGACAGGAACTGAACTCAAAATCACTGCTTTATTGCAGGCTTCAAAACGAAACAGAACTAAACTGGGAATACTAACAGAAGACCGAGGGAACACAGAAAGACACACAGGTTCGGGGAGGAGACATTGACGACGCGACACTGAACTGAGGGAGACATGCACATAAATACACAGAGGGTTAACGAGGGAAGTGGGAGCACACGGGGAACACAGCTGACACAGATAATCGTAACGGGACAGGGCAGGAGTGAACACAACATGACGCATACTGACGAGAGACTGTCAAAGTAAAACAGGAAGTACACAGAGGTGCAGACAGGAGGAGAGAGAGAGCACGGGCATAGTGGGCTGGGGAAACATGGAATGAAACAGAGGGGAGACGAGGGCTCACAGATACATAGAGGGGCACACAGGGGATAAAAGTCACAAGGGGAAATCAAATAAGGAACAAAATACAAAAAGACATGACATGCAGAGACTTTCCAGGCTACACAGAGATAAGCCAGTAAAGCCACTGGATAACGCCCTCTTCTGGATAGAGTTTGTCATGAGGCACAAAGGAGCAGCTCACCTGAAAGCACAGTCCTACAGAATGTCCTGGTATTCCTACCACTCTGTAGATGTAGTTTTGTTCCTGGCTGGAGCTATGCTGCTTGTGCTTTTAGCAGTTTTTTTCTTTATTAAATGTTTATACGCTGCAGTGTGTAAATATAAAGTGAAACGTGAGTGATAACGTGAGGTATTTTAGTGGGATCGTGGGCTGATCTTGACTTCCTGGTTTGCCTGAACTAATGCCATGTTCAGCTTTTTTGTAATTGATCATTAGCCATAGTTATGATATAAAATGCAGCTGCATCTTTCTTTTTTGCGTCTTCTGCAATTTATTCTAACCTCAGCTCAAAAGTATTGCAATAACAAGTTGTATTTGTCAGTTTCGGAAAGGCTCATTTTCTCTCATCACTCAATGAGTAAAGACAAGAAGGATTAATCCATACTGTAAGGCACCATTTTGTCTTAAGCTGAATAAAGGCAGAACAAAAACTGATATTAGTGCAATTTAAATTCCATTTCATATGCATTCATGAGTTAAACCAAAAACATCCCCCAAACAAAGTTCCACATATCATAGGGATCACTGTAAATAAACTGCTCACCTCTGGGAATTTAAAATATCTCCTGAGTTTGATTACCTACTGCTTTCTTTGATGCTTGAGCAAAACTACTTTAAACCCCCTTAAAGGATAACATGGAGAGATTTACAAGGCTACAAGATAAGAATACAAGAAAGCCACTGGATAGCTCAGTCTTCTGGATATAGTTTTACCTGAAAGCAGAGTCCTAACATACCCTGGTGTTCTTACCACTTTGTAGATATAGTTTTGTTTCTAGTTGGAATCATGCTGCTTGTGCTGTTGTTTATCTTGTAATGTGATGAAACACTGCATTATGTACAAATAAAAAGAAATATGAGTAAACAGAAAGTAAGGATTTTCTTAACTTTTTCAATTTTATATCATCATTCATTTTCTTATGATATTTCAGCAAATTTAATAATAAATAAAACACTTAAAATTATTCATGGCTAAACCACAAAATTGAGCTTTTTTTAATGCAAACTCACCAGTGCACTCACCTGCCATCGTCTGTTACTGCTGTTTGGCTTACTGAATCTAATCCATTGTACAGATAGAAATGTGTTTCGTTATAGGAAGGACCCAAAGGTTTATTTTTTGTGTAATAAATACATTTAAGTCAGATTCACTGTAGTCAAAAGAACATTTCACACTGCAGTAATTAACGTGAAGTGTTGTGGTTCTGTTGTGCTCTGACCTACCTGCCCCTCCATGTAGAAACGGGAAAAGCCTGAGGCAGGGAGATGGAACAGGTATCAACAACAGATGTGACACTGATCAAGTTAGAAGGCATGAAAAGAAACAGCTGGGAAGGTGGTGGGCTGTAAAGTGGTCAGCACATGTGCCAGAAACTGTAGGCAAGCTAAATCAGCTTGAATAGAACAACCTATGTGTAATTATCAGTAAGATCATTAGAAAGATACTTGGTATGGCAATGGGGAGGAATTGATGTCAGCTGTTATCATCTAGCCTAATGGGATTGTGGGTTAAGCCTGTCTTCGTGGGCTGAAGTAGTGGTATGATAAATTTGTTGTTCTAAAATAATTTCTGCTCAGAGAGACGAAATGTGTGCGGAGCTGGTGGCACCAAAACACTACTTGGTTTTCTGAGAGGATCCATTTGATTACCATCATAAAACATAATAGTGGCATAAAATGCAGTTGCGTCTTTCCAATTTGCTACTTCTCCAACACATTCTAACTATAGCTGTACAGCATCGCAGTCACCAGTTGCATTTGAATGAAGAAAAGAAGGATTAGTCCATAAAATGCCACCAGCACACCGACAAGTTCTTTTTGTGTTCAGTGAAATAAAGCCACATTAATTTTAATCAGAACTGAAATGGCATCTCATGTGTTCCTTGTTCTGTATTCAATTATTCATTGCTAATAAATAAGGAGATGAATTTATTGTCTTCTTATAAGGAGTTTTGGGTAATATTTTTTAAAAATGGTGTAACTGTGATCTAGAGTTAGAGAACAAAACACACACAGTCACATCTAAATTTCATTGTAATGATTCAGTCAATGTATAACCTCATTATCGTATCACTGC